AGGTGGAATAGACTCAGGATTCTATTTCATGTGGACTTGTTTTAACTTCCCTTGGCCTTAATCTGAACTCACCCATGAGTAACTGAGGTCTGTTCAACGGCCTGCCCCTGCCTGATCTACTTTTGACTGCTGATGTCGAGCTTCTCCAACGATTCCTTCCACAGATGTAGTCAGTCTGATTCCTATGCAGTCTATCAGGTGAGGTCTATGTGTCAAATTGCCATTTATGTTTTTTAAAAAAGGTATTTGCAATGAGTAAGTCATTGAAAACACAAAGTTCCATCATTCTAATTCTAAGCCTCATTTCTGTCACCAAGTCTGTATTTTCCAACCACCATCCCTTCTCCATCGTTTCCAACGTCTGCATCCCAGTCACCATTTATCATTAACGCATCTTGACTGCATTGTTTGGTCAATGTCATACTGCAAGATTTGGTGAAAAATGTCACTATCCTCCCCATTGGCTGTGGCTGCAGGATCATATATTTGAATAAGAGTGATATTAACAGGTCTTTCTTGTATGCGTATCGATAGTATCCGATCACTCACAACATTGTAGTTCAGGATAGAACCTGAAATTGGCTTTTTGTCCACGAAGGCAGCACGATTAACAGCCAAAAGAAGGAGAGAATACACAGAGTCACGGTACCCAAAAGAACCGACAGACAATGAAAAACTCAGGAAGTGTCAAGTGAGGAGGAGCTGAGGCTCAGGAAGGAGGAAGCTGAAGCCGCGTTGAAAAAAAATAAAGACCCAGGAGTTGGTGGGATACCAAGTGACATGTTTCAACTAACACAGGCACCCCTGGGCGCATGCACCAGTCCATGCCAGGCGATCTGGTGGACAGCTGTCTAGCCAATGGATTGAAGGGACCCATATTTGTTCCCACCCCAAAGAAAAGCGATCCAACAGAATGTGGAAACTATCGAACAATATCATTAATATCATATGTGAGCTAAATACTGCCGAAGATCATTTAAAAATGGTTAGAACAGGACAGAGAGAGGAAACTGCCAGAAGTTCAAGCAGGATTCAGCTATGGCACGAGTGATGTCACTGCTGATGTCAGATCTTGGCTAAAAGTAAAGACTATCAGAAGAATGTCAAGTTCTATTTACTGGCTATCCTAAGGTGTATGAGCCCCAGATCCTAACAATTCATGGCTGACACTGAGAAGAACTGGAATCCCAGAGCACTTCATTGTGTTCATGTGAAACCTATACCTAGAGCAGGAGGCTTAAGGGAACGTTTTATGGTTTAAAATGGAGAAGAGTGTGTCAGCCTTTGCCCCAGTGTGTTGGCCAAGCAGGGTGGAGGGGCTGTAATTCAAAGGCTCAAGGCTAAGACGCCTGTGCGCACTTTTCAGAGGCCGTCCTCACTGTCTTCTGTTATTAAGCTGCTTTTATAACTCTGACTTCCCCAATATGATTCCGTGTGGTCTGTGAGCTAGTGCATCAGATTCTGGACCCCGTAAAGCAGTAAGACAGGTGCTGAGATGAGACAGAGGCATGGGCGCGTGAGGGACGTGCCTGACCTCATGGGAGGTGGTTCTGTGTTACAGACGGGAACAGCTTCCCTTTGTGGAATCCATGAAGGTCAGACATGGCCATCCCCTCGTGGCCTTTGCTCTTTTTACCCCAGGGAAATGAGCCAGACACGGCCCCCAGAAATGCACTACCCCACACGTGGTCCACGGAAACGAGCTCCAAATAAATACACCCACAGAAATACACTGCCGCCCGTGTCTCAGATGCACACACTCCACAAAGTGAGTCAGACCTACCCCACCCCGCCAGAAACCACTGCTCCGTCCACATCAACGTCACCCCCACCTCCCACTACACCCACACACAACACCCCGACTACAGGAAGGAAGCATCCCCACCACACAGACACACACCATGTGTCTACACAAATACCCCATAAGCCTCCCACACCCCTACAGAAATGGACCACTCCTTACACACATACCTGCTCCACAGAAACATACCGCCACATCTAGACAAACCGAACACATCTCCCAGCTCACCTGGCCGTGCGGGCCCTCCTCCCCACTCCCGGCTCACCTGGCCGGCACAGATCCTCTCCCCACTCCCAGCTCACCTGGCCGTGCATGCCCTCCTCCTCACTCCCGGCTCACCTGGCCGGCACAGATCCTCTCCCCACTCCTGGCTCACCTGGCCGGCACAGATCCTCTCCCCACTCCTGGCTCACCTGGCCGTGCGGGCCCTCCTCCCCACTCCCAGCTCACCTGGCCGTGCGGGCCCTCCTCCCCACTCCCGGCTCACCTTCCGGCGCAGACCCCTCCCTGTGCTCACCTGGCTGGTGCAGGCACTCCACAGGTACACACAGGTCCCCAGCCCCACACTGAGCACATTGAGGGAAGACCAGTCCACGAGGTTCAGGTAGAAGTCGTCCTGGAGCTCAGGGGCATCCAGGACCTTGAAGGGGATTTTGGAGATTTTGCGAGTGGGTTTCCGTGGCGACCTCAGCAACTTCTGACTGTGAGGAGATGCAGAGATGGGAACTTCCAATTGTGGGGCTGCAGCATCGGCCCTGCAGCCACTGCCCAGGGTCTTCTGCTTGTCCTGACACTCAGGCAGCCACCCCACACAACCACTAGTGTGACCCATGACAACAGCCCTGTCCCTCTGCTCAGGACTGTCGCGGGGGGGCCTCTCCACTCTCCCAGGCTCTCTGCTGCACCCCAGTGGTCCCTAACGAGGGCACGTCCTCGGGCCTCCTGGGGTTTCCAGTGCATTCTGATTGGATATGGTTCCTGTGGAGGGGGGGCCAGCACAGCAGAGGCCACCGATGGGTCCAGAGGACAGAGCCAACGTGCAGGCTGACAAGCCCGGCACCTCCCCGCTGCCATCCAGCCCCACGGAAGCCTGTCCCCTCATCACCGTCATGTCATGGTCGCCCCCCACAACTCAGCACTCCCCACTGCCGTCCAGCCCCATGGAACCCCGTCCCCATCACTGTCAGGTAGCCCCAGGCTCAGGCCCTCACCTCTTGTTGCTAACAGGGGACAAGGAGTACGGAGACACCTCGTTGCCGTCATCTGGGTTGGAGCGTTTGGTGCTGAGGGAATACTGGACGAGAAGACGACCGCAGTGAGAGGCTGTCCCCACCCGCAGCCCGCGACACGGGGCTGCCTGCCCGCGTCCTCACCGTGAACAGACTCTTCTTCTCGGGCGTGGACGGCTGCAGCCGCCGGTCCTCCGTCTGCGGGTCCTGGACCTTCTCGATGCCGGCCCCCAGGAGCTCGTTCTTCAGCAGGGCTGAGTAGGCCAGTCCATCTGCAGGTGGACGGGCGAGCAGTCAGGGGTGGACGGGGCCTCAGGGCCAGGTTGGGGCCCACGGGAGCCCCAGGGAGGGGGGCTGGCGCTCACGGGAGCCACATGGATAGGATTCGGTTCAAGGAGCCCAGGAGCCCCACCTTTGCCGTTGTCCGAGGTGGCGTCCTTGGCCTTCCGGTTCTGGCTCGGTGACTTCTCGTTTTCCTGCACATGAGGAAGAGGAGGGTGTCAGTCGTCCCCACCTCTCAGCTGAATGCTCCCTCCCCTCCTGGTCCTTACATTGATCCTATGGAAGTTGACGCTCCAGTTGGCCCCGGCCCTTGAGGGGATGAAGCGGTCTCCGTGCTTGCTGGGAGAGGACACAGGCGAGTTGGCAGGGGTCAGCGTGCGCCGTATCTCCGCCACCTGCAGGGCAGAGCGTGTGTGTGGGCTGCTCACTCGCCCAGACGTCAGCCCACCAGGTCCAACTCATCTCACTGGCCACCTGACCCCCGACCCCTGCTTGTCGGACCCACCTGACCCCCGACCCCTGCTTGTCGGACCACATCACTACTCATCACTGGGCTGTCTGACTCACCTTTCCCGGGCCCCCGGCTATCTGACCCCCTCATCCTAACCCCTGGGCTGTCCAACCCACCTCACCCCTGCCTGCTGGGCCATCCAACCCACCTCATCCTTGACCCTTGGCTGTGTGACGCACCTCCCCCCTGACCCCTGGGTCACCTGACCCCACCGCCACCCGGCCCACCTCACCTGGAGTCCCAAGTCTCCCGTCCCACCCCATCCCTGCCCCTGCTGCGGCTCCTAATCCACCCCCAGACCACCTGGCCCTCCTTCCCTGACCCCACGACTGTTCAGCCTGTTTTATCTTCTAGCTCCACCTCACCCTGAACCCCCATGCAAGGCCAGGGCACGTCTGAACCCCAGCTTGGCCATGACTCTGGGCCCCATCGGGAACATGAAGGGTGCTGTCCAGAGACCCCCCCGATAAAATGGGGGCAGTGCCCAGGGCCCCAGTGAGCGTCCTCTGAGCACTGGCCGCCCGTGGGGTTTGCCCTCCCCAGCCCGCAGCAGGTGCTGGGGCGCAGCACTCACGCCCGGCATGGTGTTCTCATTCTGAATGATGATCTGTCGCAGCAGACGCCGCTCGTAGTCCTGGTCCATGATGGTGGGTGGGCAGCACACGGCTGTGCCGGACAAAGGGCCCGGGGGCCCCCGTCTGCTGGTCACCCACTGAAGCCACGAGGCCAGGCCACCTGCGCACAAGAACAAAGGCTCATTTGACACAGCATCGGCCACTCATTCCACCCGCTCTGTGGAACCTCCCCGGGACAAACCTCGTGTCTAACATCACACGTGTTTACAGTGTGGACACCACAGGCAGACCCTCCCTGCCTCCCCTGGAAGCAGCTCTCGGTGTGTGGGAGGTCTCTGGATCCCAAGGGATGTAGCAAAAGCCTCCTTTTCACCACACACACCTGACCCAGAACCTGTGGCCCCATCACCACTCACCCCCAACTGCAGCCCCCAGCCCCGTCACCACGTGCACCCAACCTGCAGCCTGTAGCCCCGTCATCGCGCGCACCTGACCCAGAGCTCATGGTCCCATCACCAC